CATTCAAGAGACTTCCAGAAAGAGGGAAACAGTGAGTGACACTGGGCCTTAAAGGTATAATTCTGTCATCGTTTACTCACCTTCATGTTGTTTTTTTCCTACGTGGAACACAAAAGAAGATATTTTGTAGAATGTTGGTAACTAAAGTGTTTCAGGTTCCATTGACTTACATAGTATGAACAGAAATTGAAGTCTGAATGGCTATTGAAGTCAATGGGACCCGAAACTGTTTGGTTACCAACATTCTTCAAAATATCATCTTTTGTGTTCCAAAAAATATCAGGTTTGGAGTGACATGAGGGTGAGTAAATATAACAGAATTTTTATTTTTTAGTAGACTATCTCTTTAACCACAGACATTGAGTAAAACAACTGTTTAATTGTTTCCCAAAAGCAACTATGGTCGCAATAGAGTTAATTATGGTTAACAATAGAGTTCAATGGAACTAACGTAGTTAGCTAACAATGCTTTTGGGAAACGCACCCCAGATTAGTAGTTGTCCATTGTGGTTTTGTCTATTAAATTATTGTTCAGTTTCTTTACCAATTTACATTTGGTGCCCCTAAAAAACATGATCCTGAAAATATGATTTAACTGATGATTCATTTAAATTCTTCTAGGTAGCAATGCACAGATGCACAGAGGCAAATTTGTCTGTTTGACTCCTCACTCTGTAATGCAACACATCAATATACAGAATGAATAATTAGAGAATATGTGTGACAATAAATTAGGCTTTTAGACAGTGTGTGTGACAGTATAAGCGTGTGTGTTTGTGTATGGTTATTCTGAGGTTTCCTAATATAGAGCTGCACACACAGCTGAAGAGACTCTTTAAGGCTATTCCCTGAATAGAGAGGTTATACATACACATACACAGACATCCATTCTTACAGACTACAAAAATGCCCTCAAGGGAAGGGTCAACTCATGTAACCAGATTCAGACTGACATAAAACCTAGTCTCCGTTGCTTGTTAAGGCTAAGAAATGCACACTTAAACAGGAAGAAACTCTCTGATCAACTTATAAAGTGACCAGCCACAATATGATTTGTTTTAACATTATGTAAACATACTGTAAATGTGTAATTGATAATACCACAGCTTTAGATCAGCACTCAAAATAATAAAACGTAAAATTAGTATGTAGGACTTGTGATTAGAATTTGTGCACCCAAATGTAAAAGTATAGATTATTGTAGACATAATTCTTAAAAGAGAGAGATGAGAGAGAGAGAGAAAGAGAAATTGTGATTGATAACTGAATAACCTTCAAAAATCGGACTCCACAAACCTCCAGATGGACCGATAAAAACCTATGAGACTTTTAAATTGTAACTGTTGATTTTAACCAGTTTAAAAAAAAAATTCATGCAATGTAACATTATACATATCATTTTATATGCATCATGGTGAACCTTCCAAAAAGTAACAGCTGAAAATATATAGGTAAACTTAAAGGGATAATTCAAACAAAAATGAAAATTCTGTCATTATTTACTCACCCTCATGTCATTCTAAATCTGCATGACTTTCTTTCTTCTGTGGAGCAGAAAAGACGGTATTTTAAACTGAAGATTGCCTCATTTTGTCCATACAATGAAAGTCAATGGGGTCCAGTGTTGTTTGTTACACCACTGACTTTCACTGTATGGGCAACAGTTAAAATATTCTTCAAAAATATCTTCTAGTAAATGAAGACAATTAACTATGGGAGTTGTATTTTGTAACTGGACCAAGATTTACACCATAACTCAGCACTGGAAATGTAGGAGCGTATTTATGTTTCAATTTTTTTTTTTAATTATATAGAAATTTAAATAATTCAGTCTAAATATGATGATAAGGAAATTGATGTGTGGTAATCAGCTCAGTGCTTCTTGAATCTAGGTAAGTTGCAAGAAAGCATCAAAACTCCAGGCCTCCAGCAAAGTTGCTAACTGCAATCTCCTTACAAATGTTACTACATACAATTTTATATACACACAAATAGCACAGAGTTGTTCTCCATGACCTTCTGTGAGTAGATTAATTTGGAGTTTGTTTTCCTACTGAATAATGTTCTCTCTTTTCTGTCTTCAACTGCAGGGTGAAACTGAAGTTCCCTCTGTTGCTGTCACCAAGACTCCTAAGGGGGAGGGTCTTGCTAACTTGGAGGTGGAGCCAGATGAGTATGAAATCCCTGCTGACCTATCATCTGATGAAGAGTACATGGTGGTAGAGGAGACGGAGTCATCCCGGGGCGCCCGTCTGAAACAGAGCGGGTTAAAAAGCATTGAGAACATCAAAGCTGCGTTTTCCAAAGAGAACATGAACAAGACCCGTGAGAAGACGCGAGAAAACCTCAGCAAGACCAAGGAGAGCCTGAGTAAGACGGGCCAAACGCTTGGAACCAAATTCAACACCTTGGGTGAGAAGATTGTGCCCACTGAGCAGCGAGAGAAGATCCGTCAGAGCAGCGAGAGGCTCAAGGAGAACATCGCTAAGAAAGCACCCAATAAAGAATCGTTCAAAATCAAGCTGAAGAAGGAACGCACGGTCGCTGAGGGCCAGGAGGGTGCGGAGGCCGAGCCTGCTGTGACTCCTCCCAAAGGCAGGAAGTCTAGCCCAGATGTGACCTACACAGAAGTGGCTACCGAGAACAAGAGGGAAGGTCCAGTATCAGAGGAGGGAGCGACTCGTATCCAAGAGGACTGAAAACAGCAGCTCACCACAGAAACTGTGGAGAAATTGAAGGAAAAAACATATAGAATGCAGAGAAAGTAATTATTTAGCAAGTGGAAGAGGTTATTTTTCATTTAAAAAAAGGGTGCTCCAAAATGTGAGAGTGTATGAGTATGTGTATTTTAGGTAGCTAAATTAATAAAAAAAAAGAGTGCAAGCACTAGATGTGTTTTTATCATTTCTGTTACCGTAAACCACATGTGAAATATTAAAATGTGAAAACATATGCTGTCTAATGTGTCCTTTTACTCTGCATTTGTGTCTTGGAGTAAGGAGCGGATGACTTTGTCCAAAACAATGGTAGTTAAGCTGGGGACTGAACCTCAGTTACAGTCAGTGAAGATCAGAGAACATTTGGATTGCCAAACATTTGTGTTCATACACACGCTAGCATCACAGAGACAGAGACTGGTAGAGTGAAAGAAAGACTGACCCATCAGCCAAAAAAAGATCTCTTGGAATTAATCTCAACAGCTGAGCGGCTCTGCCCAGCACATAGCAACCTAACATGAGGAACACACTGGCACACAGTTTATCGAAAGACAACCAAACACTATAATGCATGCTCATTTTTCAATTCAGCTTTTCGCTCACATAGTTCTTCTGATGTAAATAATAATAATAATTAAAAAAAATATATATATATATATATATATATATATATATATATATATATATATATATATATATATATGTGTGTGTGTGTGTGTGAAAATAAATTATAGTATATAAAATATACAGTACTGTTCAAAAGGTTGGGGTGAGAATTTTTTTTAAAGAAAGAAATTGAATGCATTAAATTATTTAAAAGTGACAGTTAAGATGTTTACATTATTACAATTTTTTTTTATTTCAAATAAATGCTGTTCCTATGAATTTTGAAGACTGGGTTAATTACTGTAAATTCCGCTTTGCCATCACAATACAATATAATATATTGTATAAATTACAATAAATAATATAATTGTCAATAATTAGAATTGTCTATACACATATTATATTACATTACATTACATTACATTACATTACATTCCATTACACATATCCGCCCTAGCGCCGTTTCTTCTCCGCTCCAGCGTGTGGCAGCACTGACATTCTCATAAAACCCGCGGCACAAAACGTTCAGCCAAACATTCATATTAATTGTTAGAGCGTTTCGGCTCTCCAGAGCCATTTTCTTTACCAATTACATATTTGTATTATTCGTTATTGGTCATTGTTTATTATTAACCCTCTTGGTTCATTACTATTATTTTGTTTCCTATCGTGTCCGGTGTGTGACGTCATTCCTGGCGACAGTAACTACAACATCCCGAGTCCGCTTTTGCAGCTTGCATATCAGAAATAACTGATATAAAATACACCGAGAGAAGGAGAAGCGTGTGTACATGTACCTGTATGCATACCTGTGATGTTTATTCAAGTTTAAACCCGCGTTGCCTTTTCCAGTAAAGCTTGTTGAAAGTGACTTGAGACAGGAATGGCGGAGGAAGAGGAGCGCGGACCCGGTTCGGTCTATCAGATGTTTGTGCTGATGGAGGATCTGCTGGATAAGCTCAAGGTTCTGGATTATGAACAGCATGTTCTGGATAAACACAACATCAAACCCCTTTCCAGGTGAGAGATGTAGAATTGCTACTTCTAATGTGAATTATAAGTTAAGATCATGCTGTTTTTCTGACACAAAAATATTACAGTTAAGTTTATAGTTCATGTTTTTTAACAGTTAACTTGTAATAAAGTCCAAAACGGGTTGCATGTTCTACTTATATTGACATTAATGTACAAAGTCAATAGCCCTTAAATAAAATGTTAAAAATAATTTTCGACCAAAAACACCTCAAGTATATTCCTTATTTTGTTCATGTAGCATAAAAACAGAATGTGATAGTAACCTTCAAACTAATACAAACATTGCTAGGGTTACTTATTAGTAAAAATCATAAGGATCAATCACTGTTGAATCAAAATATTAAGCATTTTTGCTCTGTTTTTCAGGCATTATTTTGTTTCTAGCCCTCATGTGTTGTCAAATCCTGGAGAGCAGTTCTATATGTTCAGTGTAATTTCTGCCTGGTTGATTTCTCTGTGCGGGCAGCCGTTTGACACACCGCAGGAGTATGATGACCCCAACGCCACCGTCTCTAACATCCTGTCTGAGCTGCGTGCCCTGGTGAGACGTGATGATGGCACCCTCACAAGTGTGCGTAGAAGTATTTGGGTTTTTTGATTATCTCTGTATATCTGTTTTTTGAAGGGAGGCCAGGTTGATTTCCCCCCATCTAAGCTGAAGTCTGGGTCTGGAGAGCATGTCTGTTATGTTCTAGATCAGCTTGTAGAAAAGGCACTAAAGAGTAGAGGATTCACCTGGAACAGGTAACCACACACACACACACACACACACACACACCATGAGCTGATCATATGATGTTCTGTGCTGCTTTATGTCTCATATAAATCTTCAAGAGAATTCTGTACACAAACATTCTGTACCCGCTATACACACACTAACACAGCTGGTATTCTCTCTCTATCAGGCCGATGTACCCATCTGTGGAGGTGGAAGACGAGTGTGTGCAGGAAGATGATGCTGAGCTCACACTCAGTAAAGTTGAGGAAGAAATGACAGTGAGTCAAACTCTATTCTAAGCTTCACCTTCTATTTTAAGCTTTTATCTGTCAAGCTGCTATATTAGCAGTTTTTCAGTGTTGTAAATATTGTTGAGTAATTTAGCTCAGAGTTTATTAAGTTATATTTGGATTAACAGTGTATTTATAAATATTGATTAGATCTGCTTCAAGCAAAAATTGAAATCAGAATCACAATCAGACTAAATTTCTTTGCCAGGTGTGCACAAACACAAAAGGAATTTGTTATGATTTCCAGGAGTTCTGAGTAGTTATATGCATATACGTATATAAAACAAGAGAATAGAAATGAAAAATAAGTATAGAATTAAAATCAATCTTAAAATCATTGACATCTCGATGGAGGTAGCAGAAGACTTATGTACAGATTTGCACATTATGTGCTGTATATACAACTGTTTAAATAAAAATATAATAATATTAATAGTAGTAGTAATAGTGGTAATAATAAAAAATGTAAACCATTATGGGGTAATCTAAAAAAAATACAGTTTGTCTGTGTAAAAAACAATTGCAAGCAGATACATTTTTTTAATATTATTATTTTAAGATTTAATATTGTTTTAAGGTATTTTGTTACAATTTATGTGACTTAAATTAAAAAACAAATGTGTCATACCTTACTTTGATTATTGTTCTACATCAAATGGAAAAATACAAAAATTACATGGAAGGCACTTTGTAAAAATGTGTATATTGTGATATATTGTGTTATGAACTAAAATAGTGAATCTCGTAATATAAATGTTTCATTATATCACCCAGCCCTTATTCACACAGTAAAGTGAATGAAGATATGACTTTGAATCACACACACAAACTCATGTGTAAAGTGAGTGACAGTGAGTCACACACACACACTCATTAAAAATGTGTATCTTTAGCAGGAGGATGAAGAGTATGAGGAAGAGGATGGCCTTGATTTAGACACGTTGAAGACCAGAACCAATCAGAGTGTGAGTTTTATTTGAAATACCAGTAGGTGCATTTTATGTAATAATAAAATATAAACCTGAAAGGAATAATTATACTTTCTTTCTTTCTCTGGAGATGGTTTAGTTGTTTCATATGTAAGGTGATAGTGTGTGTGTGCTACAAATCATGAAGAGCCCACAGTCTTTTATACTAAGTTAGGAGGGACGTTTACTAATATCTTAAACAAAGAACTAGTATACAATATTTTACAGAATATGTACAGTAAAAGACAACTGGTAGAGGTGTGTGTTCAGGAACTCAGTGGATCGAGGCCTGCGGTGGTTCTGGAGTCAGATGTTGATGCCGCTGAGTGGAATCTGGAAGTGGAGCGAGTTCTTCCACAACTTAAAGTCACCATTCGAACGGACAACAAGGTCTCAGATACTTCAACCTTTAATCATAGTATGCCACCTCTATGGTGATGGAGAGGCTCTGATTGACTGAAATACTGATTAACATGTTTCAGGATTGGAGGATTCATCTTGATCAAATGCATCAACATCAAGAAGGCATCAACACATCCTTGCAAGACGCCAAGGTCATCCATCCATCAATCCATCATAGATGGGTTTTTTTTACATAATAATGTGAAATACTGAATCTATGTATATGTGTGGATGTTTTCAGGGGTGTCTGTTTAAATTGAGGGAGGACATCAGTAAAACACTGGAGAAAGTGAGCAGTCGTGAGAAATATCTCAACACTCAGCTTGAGCATCTTATTTCGGAATACCGCCAGGCACAAGCACAGTTCAACAAGGTGAATATCTCGACCAACCAAAACCTAAAACATTATCACTAACCTTAAACCAATCAAAAGATAGAATGTCAAATGTTGCATTTGACATCCCCCTCTCAGGTAAAGGAGCTTTATCAGCAAGCCAGTGGAGGCGTCACAGAGAGAACCAGGATTCTGGCTGAAGTGAGTCTGAAAACAACTATACAGTCACACACTATTAATATTACAATGATTTAATCATCTTTTGGTTTCCACACAGTAGCAAATAACAGAATCAGTAGTTCTTCAGAAATGAATGTGCCTCATAATGCTGTGTACAGCCACATATCCACACAATATTCAAATAACATTCATAAAGCGTATTTATTTTTACTCCAGATCAGCGAAGAGCTAGAAAAAGTCAAACAGGAAATGGAAGAGAAAGGCAGCAGCATGTCTGATGGAGGTAAACCGCACACACAACAAACCCTCTGTCAAGCTACTGTTGATGCAGTTTGTTTATGTGTGCTGTAGTTTCTGCTTGTTAATGTGTTTTGTGTCGCAGCTCCAGTGGTGAAGATCCGTCAGAGTCTGACCAAGCTGAAGCAGGAGATTGAGCAGATGGATGTTCGGATGGGAGTGGTGGAGCACACGCTACTGCAAGCCAAACTCAGAGAGAAAAACAACATGACCAGAGACATGCATGCGACACACCTCTTAGAACCCAACACACAAACCTACTGAATCCCACCCACACTCTGGTGATGTTGTATGTGTTGGTTATATTTCATGTAAATATTTTGTTTAAATATGTTTTTAAGTGTAAATAACAAAATATCTAGTATCGAACAATAAAGTAAATATTCTCACTACTAGAACCTTTGCTCTCAAAGTTTGTAAAAGCTTTAACTTGTGTAACTGTCTCCAGAGAAAGAGAGAAGGGTGTTGGTTACAGAGGACCCTGAGCTAAGCATTACACACACATGTAACTGTTCCATGATGTTATCCTCACACACTGCAGAGAAGCACTAGAGATCATTCTGGTCTGCACATACTCAAGTTATCAGTCCACATCCTGAGGAAACATTTGTTGTGTCTGTTTTCTGCCTAAGAACAATGAACTTTTTGTTGAAATTCTCTATTAAATTGTAATATATGTAGGAATTCTCAAGTAAAAAGAGTACTAATTTGCAGCAACTGTAAATGGTATAATACCACTTATCCAAATGACTATTCCTAATTTGTGATTCCAAATAATGAATAATAATCCCATGAACCATCTACAAATTTACAACTTGCCTTTTACTGACAGGCACTAAAGGCTGGAATAAAATTGGAACCACTGTTACAGGTCTTTTATCTGTTGCCTGTTGAACTCAAAGGAAGATATTTTGAAGAATGTGGGTAGCCATACAGTTGATGGTAGCCATTGACTTCCATAGAATGGAAAAAAATATAACAAGTAAATTGCTACAGTCGAATGTTTGGTTACACATGTCCTTCCAAACATCTTTTGTGCTCAGAATAATGCAGAATGACTTACAAATATAAATACTTCATCATAAATTCTAATGCATTACTACGAATATATGCTTTCACAAGTATGTGAAATTATGTAATAATTTGATCAAATATGTTTGCATTACTGATGCACTACTGTATTCTTCAGATAAGTTTAGTTTTGAACAGTGCCCCCCACCCCACCCTCTCTCTCTCTCTCTCTCTCTCTCTCTCTGAAGGCGTGGTTCTTGATGTGTGTCAGTGTTTGTAGATAAGCGGACAGACTAGATCCGCACCGCACCGCTATCCGCATTCTCCCCGGTTTAGGTAAATTGTGTTTCTCTTGTTTCTGAATCTTTGTAGTTTCATATGTTTTGGGCAGTAGATGCAGAGCAGATACAGCGCTAAAGAATGTGGCGAGAGGAAACCGGATGTTAGTATCGCATTACGCTTCGGCATAATCACTTTATAGCCAATATTACCTTTATTCAATGTGAGATTTTATATTTATTACATTGTAGGATTATCATATACAGTATAAACTCACAGCTGGATATGTGAGTGAATGTTTCTCGTGCATCTCGTGTCAGCTTCAGGCCGCGCAACAAAGACTCGAGGAGCGTCGCGTCTGAACGCAGAATTAAACTAACAGACTTCAGAGCATGAAAACAATGAGGATGCCAGATTTCGTGTAAATAGCACAAAAATATTTATTCTGAGTAGAGAATATCCCCTTTAAAATAATCTCTTATTATCATTCTGAGTAGAGAATATCCCCTTTAAAATACTCTATTATTTTTATGATTATTATCATTGTTGTTATTATAAATAAGTCAAATTATTTATGAAAGGTACACCATAGACTGTAAGGTAGACTATTTTTATTTATTATTAAAACTAGTAGGGTAGACTAAAGTACATTAAGATATTTTTAAGAACTGAAAACAAAAAATAAACAGATAACATAAAACATAAAACCACTAAAGGAACTTAGAAACAGACATTGCATCATCAATCAGTAATAATAGAATTAACTTTAACACAGCTTTTGCAGATTTGTACAATATGCTGTGAAATGTAAATTTTTTTTCTCTTCAGCCATAAACTGGTTAAATCACAATTCTCATTATATAAGTGAGTACACAAGAATGAAAGTAATAGAAATAGATCAATTATTAAGTAATAATTGCCAATAGAAATACATTTTTATTTACATTTTGAGCTCTGTTTGTGTGTTGCTATGCATGTGTGTGGTTTTGTGGTTGGCATACATTTCTGTAATGAGCTGTGCTATTGCAGCTACTCATTTCACTTATGCTCTGCATATGCTTATGCTCTTATTTTATGTATTTGCAACTTTTAGTTACGCTAAAAATGTTTTCTTAATGTTAAAGTCATTTTGTGTGTCTTGCTCACAGAGACTGCAGGAAATGAGTGAGGGTTTTGGGGACTTTCTGTTCAAACACAAGCATAAGTTGCAGAAGTGTGTCATGTGATCGCTCATGTCATGTGAAAAACAAATGAGCTGCTGTGTGTGTGTGTGTGTGTGTGTGTGTAGGGAGAGAGAGCGAGTGAGCATGTGTTATTGTACTCCCTCATTTTTTGCCGTTAGTCTCCTCTGCTTCTCTGATAGCAGCACCTACATGCACAACACTCTGTTCAGCCAATCAGTTTATTTCTAGCCAGGAAGTGGTTAACAGGAAGTACAGTATGTGGTCTCCACCTACTTTGCCAGCATCATCCCCATTTGGATCATCAAGGCTTCCTGATCCCCCTCCCCATCCTACTCTCTTTACATTCTGCCAGACACCCCTCCCCATTTTTCATTAAATTATTCATTTTATTTCATGAAATACATTTGTTTGTGAACATTTGCTCTGTTTTATATAAATATTAACTGGGGGGGGGGGGATACTTTGTTTTCTTTCCTCTCATTTGACCTAATTTCTTTAGAAATCCATTGCACAAAAGAATGCCTGTAATCCCACTTCCAAGTGTACTAGGATAATTTTAAATTTTGCTTTATTTTTCATATATATTTAATTCTTAACCATTTTTTATATCTTTGGGATTTAAAAAAATATTTTTATTTATAAAAATGTTCAAATGTACATCTTTTTAAGATTTCAACAGAGATTTAACTGAAATTTAAAGATTTAAAGTACAATGTAGTTCTGTCTTTTGCATTGTTTTTCATTAATGGTTCTTTAGCTCTATAGCTGAAAAGTCATGGATCTGTGAATATTGTTAATTTGGCCTTGCTTCCAGAATGCAAATGATCTTATGTTACTGACCTTGAATCATTGCCAGTCCTTTTCATGCTTCACAATCTCCATTTATTACTGGTTTATACATATATCAATATATGTTTATTTTTGCTTTAATTGTATCATAGTTTAATTTTATTTTATTTGTTGCATGACCTTAATGTGAAGCAAGGAATTATATATGTGTATATATATATATATATATATATATATATATA